TGATAAATAGAGGATTCGTCACTCTTAGATAGTAAGAGATTAGATCTACATTTTATCCAATTAAGTTGATAATGAAATCCTCGGAATTTGCTTGGATTAGCCATCGACAGAACACTTGTGCTGCCCAATTCAATTAAGACTCAGTGCCCCACCTTAAATTTAATGGTGAGTTTCTTCAAACTGCCGTGAATCCTGCCTAAGGTCTCTGTCAATTGCATCCCCAAAACAACGTTGGTGCTTCCGAGCTCGAGTGGAAGAAATCATCAATATCCTAAAGTTTTAAATTGACAACAAAACCCCCTTACATATCCATTTGCAACTAACAGTCTGACCCGTGCCCATTAGGACTCCATACCTTAGCGTGCTAGGACGAGGAAGACCCAGTTGCTACATCAATTTTACCAAAATGGAGTTATGATTGGCTCCACAATCAATTAAAATCACCACCTTCTTGTACAAAATCTTCCCTTTGAGCTTCATAGTCTCTAGGGCAGACAACCCCACTAGGGAATTAAAGGATGGTTCCAGAGAGTCCCCCACAATTTTCGTTTCCTTCCCATCAATTGCCTCTTGATCACCCTGGATCCAATTTTGTTAAGAGTCTTCATTGATAGCCAAGACGTGAAGCTCCTTCTTATTTCATATGTGCCCAGTCGAGTATTTCTCATTACATCTTAAGCAGAGGCCCTTTCTTGCTTTGCTTGATGTAGAGCTCTGCATCAACGAGATTCTTGAAGGTTCATGGAAGTTTTGGGTGACGATGCCTTAGTGGAATTGGGGATTTGGGTTTTGGAAGCTAATATCGCTGATTTCGAAGGTGAGAAATGGAAGTTGGTGGGTTTGGGTTCAAGTTGTATGGTGCGTGAGGGTTTTGTCTGTATGGACTGGAGGGTGGCCCACCACGATTGAGGCCCAACCCATTTGGGCGGCATGATAGGAAATTGAGGAAATTACACCCACACACGGTTTTAAGTTACCATTTTCAAAAATACAGAATCAACTTTAATAATACATAAATCAGGTTTTAATTAATATTTTTAAACTAATATTTTATTATTAATAATAATATTATAAATTAATTTATATACACACCCCACACCCTATCTACCCATCTAAACCCTAATTCCCCTAATTCACTCTTCTCTTCCCCCCTCACTCTCTCGTCTCTCTAATTCACCCTAATTCGTTCTGGTCGCCGCCGCCACCATTCCCATTGAGTCGCCACCAAGCCTACCTCCTCTCCATCTCCCTCTTTCTCTCTTCGTTGCACCCACCCCTGATCCGGCAGCAGTCATTCAGCGGCGGCAAGGCGAGCGGAACAAAAGCCCAGTGATCCAGTGCTGTGAGTCGTCTGCTGCTTGCGGAGTCGCTCGTGATCTGCTCCGCTTGCAGTACATTTTTCTTCCCTTTTTTTTTTTAGTTTTTGAGTGGTGTGGTGATGAAGATTCGGTGGTGGAGGTGTGCGGTGCCGTGGTGGGTGCAGCTGTGATGTGCTTTGTGGTGCTGCAGATGCGGTGGTGGTGCGGTGACTGGTGTGCTACTGTGTACGGTGGAGGTGGTGGTGTGAGTTGTGCGTGGTGGTGGTTGGGTGCGGTAGAGGTGGAGGTGGATGTGCAGTGGTTTATTTGATGGTGATGCTGTGTAGTGGCGGTGGCGATGAAAGTGTGGTGGTGAAAATGTCGGCATTGGAATTGGATTTTGTTGCTGGGATGTGGTGGTGTTGGTGTTGACGATGGCGGTGTTGTGCTGGTGGTGGTCACAAATTGTGACCAATAAATATGTTGGTGTGTGACCAATAATAATAAAGTGTGAGTAAGAAATATTCTTGTGACTCAAAAAATTGCTAATTGTGCCCTAAAAATTATTAATAGTGACCAATAAATTGATAAATTGTGACCTAAATAAGTATTGTGACTTACAAATTTTGTGATTTGTGACCGATGAAAAAATTGTGACTTTTAAATTTTTAAGTTGTGACCAATAAACAAATTGTGATCTATGAAAATTTTGAGTTGTGACCTAAAAATTCTTGAATTATGACCAAAGCGTATAGATCTGTGACCTTAACAAATTCGCCGGAATCGGAACGGTCGCCGGAACAGTCGCTGGAGAAGAGTGGTGATCGGAAAGTCGGTTGGGGTGGTGGAGGTGGGGTGGGGTAATTATATTAAATTAGAATTAAATATTTAATAATAAATTGATTTAGTAATTCATTAATTATTAATTAAAAATTAAAAAAACCTGATTTGTGAATTTTCAAACTTATTTTTGTATTTTTAAAAATGTGTAAAGTAAATACCTTATAAATGTATTGTTCCCTAGGAAATTTTGATCTTTGACCTGTTGGGCGGTCTGGGCGGTCTCCATAATTCAGGTGAATCCTTTGGTCCTTAGAATTTTGACTTCAGCCCAAATTTCAGGGCTTAATCCATTGATAAAAAAGAAAATTTCAAAAATAAGAAAACAAGTTTCAAATTTCAAAAATCAGATTTTTTAAAAAAATTTTATTTACGAATTAATAAATTATTTCCTACTGCTCCGGGGACTATTCCAGCGACTGTTTCGGCCACCACTCTTATTCGGCGATCATTCCGACGACTGCTCCGATTCCGACGATTATTTCAGTGACCATCATAGATTTATATAATATGGTCACAGATTTATAATTTAATTAGTCACATATTATTTTTCGGTCACAAATCATAATTTTTTATGTCACAAGTTATTTTAAGGTCACAGCTCAAAAATTTTATAGGTCACAATTTGTTTATCGGCCACGGATCAAAATTTTTGTAGATTACAAATTATTTCGAGGTCACAAATCAAAAAATTTTATCGATCACAATTTTTTTATGGGTCACAAATTATAAATATTACAAGTCACGACTTATTAGACAGTCACAAATTATCAAATTATCGATTTCAAATTAACAATTTTTTAGGTCACATTATTTTTTTGTCACAATTTATTTCCTAATCACAAATTAAGAATTTTAAGGTCACGGCTATTTCTCGATCACAAATCAAACTTTTATTAGTCACAACTCAATTACAACTTAATAAATTGAGTCACAATCACAATTTTTAGGTCACATATTATTTATTGGATAATTCTACTTGTACAAAATTTTGGTACAAGTATCTAATGCTTACTAAGCATTATCTCGTCCCAATCTGAATACTCTTGCTTGATTTGGTACAAGTATCTAATGCTTACTAAGCTATGAGACTGCGATTTCTGATAATTTCTAATTTCAACTGCACAACCGCCACAACTTCATAGTAGCACGTCACCGCCACCGCCACCCCCAACCCCATCTTACCATAACGACGCCACCAGATCCGGCCAAACATCTAGCATTTACGGCTAGATTGTTGCTATAGCACCCACAGCATCACAGAACTCACCCAACCATTGCACAACCACCACATCCACAGCATCACAGTAGCACGCCACCGCCACCGCCACCGCCACCGCCATCGCCACCCCCAACCCCATCTTACCATCACGGTTCTACCAGATCCGGCCAAAGACGACGTTTACGGCGAAATCATTCTCACTGTTTTAATAAATCTGGCATTTGTCTACATTTACAGCAAAATCATCATTTCTTGGGCGAAGATGGCAGCAGCCAGGGGCGGAGCCACGTGGGGGCCTGGTGGGGGCCAGGCCCCCACAACATTTTTGACAATTTTTTTTTTTAATTAAATTTTTTTTTTAATTGCCACTTTCAACGCATTTTTCACATAGAAAACATTAGAATTTGGATATGGCTATTTCTAGAAGAATTGTAGCCCTTCGAGTTAGATTTCCAACAAAATTTGAATCATCTCAATCGGACATCGGTAGAGAAAGTTATGATAAAAATACCGACGACTGCTCAACCCTCACTCGACTTTCGCTAGAGGCTCGCTCGAGCGATCAATGCAGTAATTTTTTGCCCTAGTTTCACCGACATGAATGATGATCATGTAGTTATACAACGTTATCAAAGTATAATTTTACTAAATTAAAGATTAGTACTTTCTTTTATACGTTTTTTGATTTTTTTGTTAACAATGTATCAAAAAAAAATTTTCGGGGGCGAACCCCCGTCAGCCCCCAGCCCTTCACCTCAACCTCCAGGCCCCCCCTACATTCAAAGTCTAGCTCCGCCCCTGGCAGCAGCGATAGCAGAGACGGGTTGTGTAGTGAGAGAGGAGAGTGGGAATGATGGAAGTGAACGGTTGTGTAGAGAGGTTAAACTTCCCATCTGATTTTAGGATGTTGAATACTTAAAGTAGGGATTAGCGTAATTTCCACTTGATGAAATCACTCTCCAACACCTCCGGCAATTCTTGCAGCAGTGAAGCTAGCACTTGAAATAACTGCCTGTGTTCCTTTATTGTGCCTTCCTGCTTCAAAGCTAGAAACTTCTCGCACAGGACCCTTGTTGTGATTGCCAGAATCTCTCTAGCAACGGTGTCTTCAACTCCAACCACCTTCTCACGGTCTGGCAACTTTCCTTCCATTGAAACCATGCTAAGGCCTCTCCATCAAAACATATAGCCGCTGCCTCAAGCTTTTTCTCATCCGACATTGAGTTCGCAACGAAGAAATGATCAGCTCTAAATAGTCAACGATTGGGATTCTCACCTTCAAACACCGGCATCTCCAACTTCATCAGCCTTTGCTCAAATCTCCATTAATAGCCTTGACTGCCTCCAGCACTACCAATGGAAACTTCGAAATTCGCTGATTGTGTTGTTGTATGGTTCAACTCTGGTTCCTACTGGTTCCTGCTCTCATTGGATTCCTGCAGGCTCCCTTCCCCTAATTTCTGTAACATCAATTCCATTGTTGAGAGCCTTTCCAACGCTATCCCTACATTTTTCTCCTGAGTTTCCTGCGGCTTTAAATCACTACTAACCTCCTCCATTTTCTCCCCCATTGACGTGATTTGTCAATTGCTTCTTTGCGACAATTCTTCTTCTTCCTTCCTGATTACTCTGATACCAAAATGGATAGATCCCAGAGAATTGATGAATGTATGGCCGCTGTGTTCTATCAGAGTGATGTTGATGAATGTAAAAACACAAAATAAGACTGCAAATATTAAAGATAGAGAAAAGATTACAATGTTTGATGAACATTTGAGAGGTTCATCTCTTTCCCTCGCTATGCTCTCAATACACGTGAATCAAATAATAACAGAATCCTCTCCCACCCCCACCCCTTTAACTAATTATTCTGTCTTAAACTAACTAATGATTCTGGTGACAATTTTCCCCTCCATTCACGACCACAGCAGCTAAGTCCAACCACTGCTTGCTTCTTGCCCCCTGCAAGCATAGGTAAAACAGATAGGGGATCTACAAAAAGTCCCATACCTTCAAAGTCGGGAAACAATGGCGGGGCCACTAAGATTGCCTGGTTACATTCTGATTGAGGGATTTTGTGAACACTACCAAAACCACATATAGTGTAGTGTATCCTTGTTGCATTTCTAAATTATGTAATGCTAAAGTTTTGGACAGCAGGTTAATTGGAATCGATAATTAATATCACGCTGAAATAATTTTGTGCAAATTATATCAGTTATTATCAATTTTACTCTAGTTAATTATCTTTTTCTACTTATGCTTATCTTGTTTTTTATATATATAGATATAGAAAGTGCACCTGATTTGATCGTAAGAACTAGTTTTTTATTCAATTTCCCTTCATTTTGAATTAAGTACCAAAATGTTTCCTTGGAGAGTAAGATTTGTAATGGAGCCTGACTACTGTTCATATCTGAACAATGGGTGGTTTTTGTCCTTTTACATACCCTTCTAACAATAGAAACTATTTTGTGAACACGGTTATTGAACCTAAACAACAATCAGTAACATACTTGTATCTATCTGTTTCTTTCTCAGGGGGATCTTATGGCGAGGTTTCATACAAGGCCATACTGAAGCAGGATACATGTTCTTATCAGTTAGCCTATGCACGTCTTTGTTGCTGTGCCTACCATTTGAGCTCCATTAATGCCGCTGAGTGAGTACATGTAGTTTTTTTTGTTGATAAATGTCAATCATGTCTCGTCTTCTTTTAATTTTCTTGTAGTCATACTGATTATAACAGTGCCATGCTTGCTCTCGATGTGTAATTCAACTTGAAATCATTCTTTTTGGAAAGATCTGGAATAGAACGAATATATGTACAAAATCAAATAAACCAAGTTGAATTCTACATTTCTTCGTTACCATTAGATGATTCATGTTTATCCAATTTCGGGAGTCGTGTCACTTTGTAGCTGAGGCATGTAAATTAATAACTTTGAATGGTACATTTTTAAAAGAATCATTTTTTAAGTAATTACTTTTTCACAAACACTTGGGATTTATTTTACAAAACAAATCGTTAGTACCGAAAGCCCAATTAGTGGGCGAAGTCCAACAAAGGGAAAATTGCAGTGTTTGTCCCAACCTATAGGCATTGTAGCAACTTGATCGTCAACGTATTTTTATTGGCTTTCGTAATCTACCACAAACCTTGATTTTTTAGCACAGTTGGTCCCAACCTGTAGTCAAAGCTCACAATTTTTGAAATAAAATTTATTAAAATGGGAGTAAGACATGCGAGGCACTATAATTAATATAAAATAGAATTATAAAAATAGGAAATAAAAAAGTTATAGAATAAAAAAAGAAGAGAAAAGAATGTAGTCATCTCTACAAAACATCTCAAACACTCAACTTGTTGCTTCTACTCTACTCTTTAACTTCTTCGAATAATGTTATTTATTATTATGGTTTAAAGTGATATGTCCATTGATTGATTGTCCAATCGAGTGATAATGCATTGGACAATAAATGAAAGGATCCATTAAATGGTGGTTAGTTTGGTACGGTAGATTGACTGAAAAGCGAGATTATTTTTTAAAGTAGTTGTGATACTACTAGTATTAGGTTTTAGGAGTGGTTGCGACCGGATTCTAGCTTGGATAGGGACTCATAAGATGCCAAATGGTGAGTAACAAGTGGTGGTAGGATTTGCCGTATTCGCGGTGGTTTGAGATACCAACTTGGATTATGGAAATGATGATTTTTTTTTTTTGGCATGTTTTTTTTATCATTCTATTAATTTCACCATTAATAGGGGTTTAGTAAGTCTTTAGTTAAAGAACTATTTTTTAACGGTCAAATGAACAAATTTTCCCTAGTGACGAAGCAACACCAAAACAGATAGTTTCCGTACTCTCCGCTGCTGGGAAAATATATTACAGACCAAGTTGCATGAATCCAATAGTTTGTGGACCAAAACAGCAATTTTACTATACGACAATGGCACTAAACTATTTTTCCAGAATCCCAATGGCACATGGGTATTGACCTCTTCTTTGGCCCCACCATTGACTCGAATCCCCCACCACCCACCTCGGAGCGGCGTTCCTCCCGAATCCCCGCGGAGATACCTCTCTCAGTGTAGAGAGAGAAACAAAAGTAACAGTCTTTTGAACCAGGGAAACACCTAGAAAACCAAGAATGTGCCCGATAAAACATAAACAAAAGCACCACCACCGTAGCACCGCCGCAACCGCCACCGCCACCGTGGAAGACTGTAGAGAATAATCCATAAACGGGGGGTCCTTAAAACACGTTGACCTCCAGAATGGATCCAATGGATGGGCCTCGCTACCAGGTGAAGTATTCTCTCTCCGTGGACCCAATTACTTTGCCAAGAAATCCAAAGCGCCGGCCGGTGATTGGATGCTGAACCCTGCTGGAGTTGACTGGGTACGATCCAATTCCAAGCTCGATCACGTTCTTTCCAGGCCCGATAACCGTGTCATGGCTTCTTTGAGAAGCTCGAAAACACCGGAAAAATGGTCCAAAATCTTCATTGTCGCGGTAAATTTACAGGTTCCGGGCTGGGATCATCACAGTGCGGTATTTTAATTTTCCGGTAAAGTAGATGAGCCCATTGATCCAAATTCACTACTTTATCATTTCATTCATGGGTCTGATGCATTTAGGGATAGTAGATTCAAGATAGTGAATAAAATAGTTAAGGGACCTTGGCTTGTGAAAACTGCTGTGGGGAATTATACCGCATGCTTATTGGGTAAAGCTTTAAAATATCATTACCATAGGGGACCAAATTATTTGGAAATAGATGTTGATATTGGTAGCTCAGCTATTGCCACGGCAATTTTGCGCCTCGCTCTGGGATACGTCACGTGGACATGGGTTTTCTGGTGGAGTCTCAATCGGAGGAGGAGTTACCCGAGAGATTGTTCGGGGCGGTACGGATTTGTCAAATAGAGATGAGTTCTGCAGCCTTTGTGGATAGTATCCTCACATTCCTCTGATAACTATTTGGAAGAAAATCTTCTGGTTGCCTATCAGTAGTGAAAATATGCAATTGGATTGCCTCTTATTGCCAATTCAAGGAAGTAAGAAATATGGCAATCAATATTCTTATTTTTGATCTTGTGAATGCATGTTGGATTACTATTCTTTAGTTTTGAATGTATTTCTTTTTGTTTATTTGCCGTTTGAGTTAAGATTGGGATACATCATTTGATTCTGATGTGTTTTTGTCCAATGCTGTAAGGGATGTTTTAGTTTCAACCTGATGAGGATTTTTATATTCACGAACCTAAAGGCAAGTCATGGCCAAAATGTACTTTAATATACTGTCTTGGAATCAAATTTTGAGTTACCGAAATGAAATGCATTCTTTGCGAGTCTTTGTGATGTGATTGACTACTCATGTTGAGGTACAAGCTGATCACACTGTTCGAAAGAGTCTTCGTGTGGATTCATGAGAATGGAAATCCAATCGATGTTGACGCTATAGTGGTGGTTGTTGATGGTGGAAATGTTAAGTCTTTGGTGGAAACTTGATGCTTGAATTAGTGGAAAGGGTACTTTAATTTGTAAATTTTCGTTGACAAAAATGCAGGCTTAGGTCAGTCTGATTATGATTGGACTCCAAAGACGACTTTCATTGCACCCCCCCACATTTTCAGTAAGTCAATAGTTGTAAAATCCGAGTTAGTCCGCCCCAGGTCCGTCTGGAGAGTGGGTGCTTGTGGCCCATGCCCGTGCTAGGCCTTATATTTTTCTGCACAGGTCAGTCGAACCTGCGCCGGTCGTGGTTTATCTATAGTAGCCTGTACAGGGTCACTCCACATCTGAGCTAAAATTCTGTGAGTTGGCCTGCTTAAACAATTGCCTAGAATAATCCCAATAAAAAATAGTGAGGATAAAGATTAATTTTCGGCCAGTATGAATTGATTAATGTATAATCTGCAAAATAGCTTCTTGTTGGTTTTCAACACAATATGGCACAATAGCTTTTGTTGCACAAATTAATTCCCAACGTCCAAGTCAAGATAAGAAGAATGGTTTACCACCATTGCACTTGGTACTGCAAAACTGTTCGACCGACCTAGCATCTTTGAGACTTAGACATGCTTGGCATACATTATTGAAGTCACACAATTTGTTCGTACACATAACCCTGAGTCAAGAAATCAAGATTGACTGATCACAAGTCGTGTTTTTTTCCCCTCGATTGCGACTAGGAGAAAATATAATTATGCATGTATCTCAAATGGCGAAGATTGAATCTAACTTTTGATTAATTATGAGGAAGAGCAGTTTTTCTGCTTACAAGCATTACACAAGCTTAAGTTTTCCTTATAAATTTTATCAGCAAATTTCTTTCACAGAATCTTTTAAGTCTAAATTATTGTCACACATTATATGCTTTCTGTAGATGTGTATGCACGTGCCCTTTAACATCCACCAGGGCCAAATCCCAGCTTCCCTCCGGCAACATCATACACCACTTCCATCGTCCTCTGTTGGACATTTCCGAGAATGCCAATATCCGAGGCATCACTGTTTCCTGCAAAAGCCAGACACACGCGGGACGAGTCAACAGCGACAAGTGTTCCCATAGCCACTATATCCACTTTCACATTGCCGTCGAAAGTAAAACCAATCTTTGGAATGGTTATTGTGGTATAATTGCTAAGATCATAGCATGTATCCAATATCGAGAAGGCCGGTGCACTTGGATACTTTGACATCCCTTTCTTGAACTCGGTCCTCAAAGCGCTATAGGCATCAGGGGGGAGTCGAGTTATGACTGTACCAGAGTCTATGATCGTGCCTGCAGTCTTGAACACGGATGGACTAATGGACAACTGAGTCGTGCCCACGCTGATTCCTAGAATGTTGATGAAATAGAATGATGTATCTTGCGAGTTAGCAAAAGGGGTAAATTTCACATTGCTTGAAACTCCACTATTTCCAAATGTCAAGTGTCCAGATGAGGAGGATGATGATGGGAGACAGTATGAGAAGTACTTTCCATATTTTTGCTCGGTTTGGGACACAATAGAGAGAGCATCCTGGCCGAGGCCTAGTATGCCGGCCGTGTTGCCAAACAGGCCTTGGTTGTTTTGGCCACAACCATAGTAGAAGTTTGGAACTACATCTGATGGTGATATGGTCAATGTGTCTTGACTGAGGAATCCCATGGTGAAGGATTGGTCACCATATTGTATGGTATACACACATGTTTGGCTAAAGCACTTTGGGCTGTTTCCGGTCGCCGAGGAGAGCTGAGAACATTGAGTTGAACTACACGAGACATTTGAATATGAGGTCGATTCAGTAGGGTTGAAAATTGGTTCTTTTTGTGTATAGCAAGAACGAGCACAAGGTTGACATTGAGTCCATGTTAGGTCACTTCCAGTGTCAAAAACCAAGGACAGGGATTTCTTGGGTGTTCCAAGGCTAAGGCTTACAATGTAATTTCCTGTGCCGAGTGATTGACCAGATTTGGCCGGAACGATGGCTTTCTTATCCTCAATTTTGTCATTGTCTACGTTGTGATTGATCTTAAAATGGATCGATTCAACCCGGGACTCGTCATGGGAGAGTACCTCATCGAGGGATGGGGTGGCCTTGTCTTGGCTGTATTTAGAACACGGACCATGCCTGTGGAAAACTTTCAATGTAGATGGCCTCTTGCTGGGACCTGATCAGTGTATGATCAATTAGGACATAACATATATGAGCACGTCTCTACCTAATAATATGTTATAATTATGCAAATTAAGATCGTATCAATTCTTAGTAGTGAAAGACAGAAACTAAGCTGTTCAAACAGGTGTAGGTGTAATACATAGTAGTCGACATAGTATAATAGAAATATATCTAATTTATGCATTACAGAAAGTGAATTTGCGGTGTAATACACCCCACCCCTCACCCACCCCTACAACATACAAACACAAAAATCCACAGCGATTAATTACACAGACAAAGAGCATAATATACACAGCATAGGACAAATGACTAGCCGGCAATCCACTTGTTTTCTGTTTCTTCTCAACAAAAAAGTTAGGTTTACACTCAATACATTTGTGATGCACTTAACGAATTTCTTCTTTATTTACTGTAAACTTCAATAATCCTACAAGAAAAAAATCATTACTAGCTAAAAGCAAGCATAAGAGCTAAATTCTTTGGACTTGTTCGGTAAGGTAGATTCTATAATACTTTAATAACATTAGAAAGAAAAATATGTTTATCGTGCGGTTCGTGCGTGTCGAAAAAGGGTATAACCATAACCCAGAAAAAACACAATTTTTTTGTACAGGGAAGATTGCTTGAAAGAAGGAATAATAAAAGATTTGGATGTCAGAGTATTTTTCTTGTACATGGTGAGTTCTATGTATAAAAAACCATGAGAAATTCAATACAAATACTACTTACATTTTTGGTGTAAATACACTAAAATCATTAATATTCAGACGTACTTAAAAATTACATTTTTATTTATATTTTTACTTTAAAAAAGGTGAGTTTTATTTGTAAGAAAAGTAAATTCGCAAAATGAAAAATAAGTTACATGTTTTTAGCACGCAGTATATGAAAAACATAGAATAGTTAAAAGTTTGTAACGATAGACTAAAAAGGTAACAATATAGAATACACATTAGGGGTCCGTTTGATTGCAAGAATGAAATTTTGGTGGAAAGAAAATAAATTTCAGAAAATTGAATTGCCTAAAACTTATTTTACTGAGAATTATTAATTAATTGTGTTTGATTGGTATAAATTTTCACCTGAAAAATATTGAAAATTTTCATCTTTTGGTGTTTGATTGACTTTGTTTTTCATGAAAATTGTAATATGTGAAGATTTTTTTGGTCGATTTTGCGGCTATTCCAGAAATGGGGCAGAGGGGGTGAGAAATGGGAATTGGGGAGTGCGTGAAAAGAAAGATAAAGGGAAATGATAGAGTTTGACGTGAGAAGAAAGAGAAATGGAAAGTATGATTTTATTTCAATTGCCAAGAAAACAAAAAATCAATTCACCCATGAAAATTTCAATTCCTCATTTTTGTGGAATAAAGGGTCACGTCACCGAAAATGAGAAAAACAATTGTGAAGAAAATATTTCCTATCAAACAGGCTAAAAAGTGAAAAATTGTGGGATAATTTCCATTTTCCATGGAAAAATTGGCCTCTCAAAGAGGGCCTAAAACAAAAACCGGATCTCCCGTACCCTTTACATTTTCTTGATCAGAATCCTCCCGACCAAGGTCCGACCCGACCCACAGTACAAAATTACGTAATAAAAAAAACTTGAATTAAAAATACTTAGATTTACTAATGATCGATAAATGAACATGCATGCACAAGAGTAAAGGTAGAGATATATATAGAATTTGTATGTATAACCTTTGGTGGAGGGGCTGCAGACTGAGGCAGGCAGTAGAGAACTGATTTCAACGGTATGATAATGGCTTTCTATGACTTTTCTTCCTTCCAAAGCATAGCTTTTAATCAGAAAAAATGAGAGAAAAGTGAAAGAAATAAGCAGAAGATTAAAGAGAGGAGAAGAAATGAGAGGGGCCATCAAGTACTCAAAACTTTGGCTTGCAAGTTTATTGCCAGACTATCATCACATATATATATAATTTCAAGCTGCCATGTCACCTAATATGACAAAATTGTTTTTAAATTAATTTTTTTTCAATTTAAATTATTAAAAAAATTGGTTGATAAATAGCGTAAAATTCTTGGATAATGCCCCTTGTACAGGGATAGTGTGCTCGGGGTGAGATGACAGACTGTGATTGACAGTGTTAAAATTGTTTTTTGTCCAACCGTCAATCACAATTTGTTAAGTGTGAACCTGGCAAAATGCTTGGTAGATTTCCCTGACCTTGTACCATGATTCAAAATTCTTATGTATTTACAAGTTTATGAGAATATATTTAGAGGCTATATGAGATGTTAGGTAGGTACAAATATCTTTTATTTACGGACAATTCCCTTTGTACGGGGGGGTTGTTGCTAGAAACCATACAGGGGCTTCACGGGCGGCACCCGTGTTGTTGAATATATATATATATATATATTTTTTTGTCATTGTCCAATGAAATGTGATTTGTCATTAAACAAGCATAATATACTGTCATATATTCATTTTTTGCCTTCAAAATTTAATGGGCTTGGGGGCTGGCGTCTGTATTTTCTCCCCTTACCACCTAGATTATAAAAGGATTTTATAGCTCGTTTACAAGGATTTAAGGCTAATATTTCATAGCTGCCTCTGTCTATAAAGGACAAGGAAGTAAGAAGGTTCCCCACACATGGACGTAGCCAGGGTTTCAATCTTGCGGGAGCGAAAATATATTGGGATTCACAAAATTATAAATGTTTCTGATCGGTTAAAGAGAAGAAACACTGAAACAATTGATCGTTTGCATTTGTTCAATCCAACATGTCAAAAAATGCGTAACTCATTTCGCTCGTAAATCACTATAATCATATACGTTGTCCATACAACCACACAATGAATGCTTCATTTATGAAAAATAAAATAAAATAATTGTTAGAATAAGATTTTTAGTAGACTTTTAGCCTCTGTTTGGTGATATCTAATTCATGTTGCACACAATGCACTTACTAGAACAGATGTTTGGACGCAGTCACTAGATAAACGCGTTTGAGTCCGTGATTAGCGTTGGAAGTGGGGTCGTTTGGTGGAGCTTCAGTCTTCAAACAAAGGAAACAAACAAATTTTATTGTAAGAAAGGCATGTGAACAGGTCAAAGTCCACACATAGATGAGATTAATTGGAATTAGATTGGAATTAGCACGACTTGACGATCTTAAAAGGTAAGCAATTAACTCTTGAAATATGTCGCCCGTTTCCTATTTCAATTCTTGATGAATTTAATACTTGTTAAATTGAAAAATACTAAATTTAATTTAATGAGTTTCTTATATTTTATGGGACATACATACATATACCTCCAAATATAATATAATTGAAGGGGGTCAGGCTTAATCAAACGATTTTCTTGACTATCAATGTTGGGTCTCACAATTTGTCAATTAATCCATTTATTTCACTTAATGCTTGGAAACTTGCTTGCTGAGGACCAGTTTATCAAACTAACTACATCAATATCTAAAGCAAGCACTTGAAACAAAAAATGTACAAAATAATTTTATTTATTTTTATTTCTCCCCGCCCCGTGACCCGAGACGAGGCGGTGAACCTCGCCCCACCCCGTCAACCCGTTCAGGGTGGGGCCCGCGGGGACGTGGCGGGAAAAATTGTCATCTCTACAGGCAGAGTTTTAAGCAAGAAGATATAAAAATAAATTAAATTTTATTTTCAAAATAATCAAATATTATGCTAATTGCATCATTGTCACTTGATAATTGAAGGGGGTCAGGCTTAATCAAACGATTTTCTTGAGTAAATGTTGGGTCTCACAATTTGTCAATTAATCCATTTATTTCACTTAATGCTTGGGTTGAACGAACGACTCCTGGTCAAAAAGACATTTCTTATTGGTGCAAAATAGCTGGAAAATTGAACCATTTGGAATCTTGATTGATTGTGAAACGCATGTTACTTGTAATGTAAGCACAACCTATCACAATCAGTTTATGGCTGGAATAACATTAAAAGGTGTAATAACATAAAAATAAACTATCTCGTCCTGAAATGGGGAATAAAATGTAAAATTTAAAAAAACTACACGTATAAAAATGTTCTACTAAGTGAATCTTTAACGGGACTCTTGATTGCATTACAAAATGTGATACATCACCCCCAAAATACTTATGGCAGGAAAAAACTAGTGACTTAATTTTATTTTTTTTTAAATTTTTTTTATCTCCACTCTTTCTATAGCTCCTATCTCTTTTACATGTGATCAACAATTAGTGCAATCCTCATATCCATTGAAGATGTTTTTCTCTCCATTCTCAATTACGTTGTTGCATTGGAAATGTTCAGCGAAACATTACATCAATTAATTTGTAAATCATTTAATTCTATGACATGCCGTGAACTTATCTATCATTTAGTTGATGTATTATACTAAACAATGATGTTCTATATATTTATATATATGCTACAAGAGAACATAATAATTAAAGTTTCTTGGAAGGACGTTTTTCCATTCTACAAGAAATTTCAGTCATTTTCTTGGAAAGCATTCTAAAAGGTTATTTACAAATACAATGAGTAAAAGCAATTACAAGTTAACGTTGCTTGGGGACAAAACCCTCCCTTTAGTCATAGTACGATGGTAACATCTAATTAAAAACGTAGTCTTAGCATCACAATCAATTATAACAAAACCTATGCCATTCACATGGCTGCCAGCAAACATTCCACAACAAATTAAAAATTTTGGTATGAAGTGTAAACCATAATCTATATATTGGATAATTTCAACATATATAGGCCACACGTTGTATATTAAAATGTGTGGTGCTATTATTTAAAAAATATTAGTCAATTAAAGTGATTCATTAAAGCTGTATTTTGACTAATGGGTATTAGGTTTCATGGAAATATAGTGTAGAAATCGGAATGTTGTTTTAAATTGATGAAGGTGATGGTGTTCTTCAAATTCTCTACATCCCCATCAACAGATAGTGAAAATCAAGAGAGGACCACCAATCAATTGGAAGATCATGATCATAACCCATCCAGGCAAACAATATGACATCCATGGATCTAGGTATGTTTGTGATTTTGTTATTTTCTCTAGTTTCAACATGGAGTATTATTTAGTGTTAATATGAGAAAATCATTTGAATCTATAATCCCTTTTATTATGTTTTTCTATCACCATATAGTCAAATTGCATTATGGTGATACTTGATAGGTACTGTTAGTACAAAAGAGTTCAATGAATATTTCAATAAATGTAACTATCATAAATTGCCAAAAATCAGAAAAAGGAAAATTCATCACATTATTGGCAAGTTGCATTTTTAAAATTTAATAAATTTTACCAAATAAAAAAAAATGTGTGCAAAAAAAGGGAAAGTTGTTACATTAATCAAGGGAATATCACAGATCACCCAAATAATTAGTTCAATTTGTTTGATGCTTTGTGCTAAGTGTATGGAATTTGATTAAATATGTATTTAATTGTTAACAAATTGATACACGAGATCAACCTCTACGATTGGATTTTCAAGTTGAATTGTTGAAATTATTTCAAGTGTAACATGGTAGCAAAATCGTAAAAAGAATTCACCTTCAACAAACAAGAATTCTTTTCTCGTATAATACTATAATGGCCTGTTTGATTTGCTTTTTTTTTTTTTTTCCATGGAACTTGGAATTTAATTTCATTTTCCCACCAATTGACATGTTTGATGAGTAAAATTTGGAGGGGAAATGATTTTCTTGGCCAAGGCTCACGCGCCTTTTTTTCCAAGATTTTTGGGAAATCCATTCCCACCAATTTGGCAGGAATTGAATTTCCAGTTCACTACCTTTTTTTTTTTGCAATGGAAACAAATTTCATAACAAATTGAAAAAAAAAATCACTTTAATGGACAATTTCCATGTAAAACAAAATCAAACGAACACTAAATTTTGATAAAAAAATGATTTTTTAAGAAATATTTTTTTTCCATTTTTTTTTTACTTTTTGGCAATTGAAACAAATTTTATAATTGTGGAAAAAAAAAATCACTTTAATGGACAATTTCCATATAAAACAAAGTTAAACGAACAAAAAATTTAAAAATTTTCCGGGTGGAAAATTATATTAATCAAACACACTTAATTAACAATTCCATGCAAAACAATTTCTAGGCAATTATTTTCTCCGAAATTCATTTTCTTTCCACCAATTTTCCACCCTTGCAATCAAATGCACCCTAATAGAAAATGAATTGAAAGGTACTTTTCCTGAAACAATACTTTTTCATAGGCTTGGGCGTCGGGTGGGTCCGCCAGATATTTCAATACCCGAAACCATCCATTATAATTCAGTTATTTCGTAAATGGAACCATTCGGGTCCTTGTAAATACTGTAACCAAACTCAAACCCAAGCTGTCGGTTCCGGTTCGGTTTCGATTCTACCCAAACATTTTTTATATACATTTTCAAATAAATCCTTTTAGTACATCTACCTCTACTACTCAAAAATATTTATGAGAGAGTTTAGCAAAAAATATTCAAAAAGCAAAATAATAGATGCCAAAAATCATGAAAATATGAGAAAATTAAAATATCAAAAATTAAATTATAATTTGAGAATAAATTATTATTTCTTAATAAATCTTGTTCGATTCATAAGCGAGGCATATTAGAGCATATAATTTAATTATGAACAACGTTTAAATTCTTCAACTCTTTAAATGAACTGGCATCAAAAATAATAATTAGATACATAACTATATAGTATCAAGAGATTGCAATCTACATATTGAATTTCAAAAGAAAACCATGAACTCAAGATAACAAAACAGGTACACTACAGCCCAAACAATGAAATATCAAGTTCATTTACCATGCATTATAAAAAAATTAAAAAAATACTTAGGTTTGTAAATAATGTAAGAAAGTAAAAAGTGCGAATTAT